CCTTATCCTGCAGCTCTCCTGGTTCATCTGCTTTTCCAACCGACCAGCTCCTCCAATAAAACAGATATTCCCTCTTCTTCCAAGGCTCTTTTCCTGGAGGATCTCCCAAAAATGCTCCAACATCTGCAGCACAGCCAGGCACTGAGGTTTCAAGGATCCTGCTGGAACAAGGCAGGCAGCCTGAGCTGTCTGGAATTCCACTTATCCAGAGGCTCCTCCACCTCTGTATCARCCCTTGAGGGAGCAACTGCTGCAGTGTGGGGGGTTTGGAGTTAATGGTCTGCTCAGGAAAAGCTGGGATCAGGAGGGGAGAGAAGCCACCAGGACTGTGACCTGTCAGTACCATTCAGATTGTACAGGAAACAAATATTGTGACCTCTCCACAGCTTGGAATTATTTCAGTTTGCCAGACTCGGATTATATTTTAGAAACCTTTTCTAATTAGTCTTGGAGTTAGTAATGGAAAAATGGCATTGGAGCAGTTCAGATCCAAAGGAGGAGCTGCAGCAGCAAGAGGAGCTCACGTCAACTCTGCTCTCTGAGGATTGGGAAGGCACAAACCTTCCCTCTTCCGACAGTTTGGCCAGGATTTCTGGAGTGCCAGCCTGGCACTTGGATCTTTCTCCTCCAGCTCYACCAGGAGCCAGCAGGAGCTGTGAAGATATTTATTCCCTCTAAATTTGTAATGAAGAAATAGGATGGATAAGTTTTCCCTGTTTTACGRAGTGGTGCATTCCACAGGATTCCAGCAGCCTCTGATGTGTCCCCAGAGAGCACTCAGACCTTGGCCTGAAGAACAGACAGCACATCCCAGAAAACAAAGCTGCCCAGGCTGCTTTCATCCTGGAAGGACATTTGTCTTCCAGAAACAATGCTCAGGAAGAACACGAGCACCAAGGAGCTTCTTCTGTGCCATTAAAAATCAGACCAGGATCCGTAGCTCAGGGAATAACAGCCCCAAACACCGGCACGTGTCAATGAGCCGGAATTCTTGGGGCTTTTGCAGTGTTTATTTGTGAGCTTCAAAGGGAAAAAGACTGGAAATCCACTAAAAATAAGGGGGAAAGGTTCTGAGAGGGGGATTCTGCCCCAGCTGAAGAGCTGAAGAAGAGATGKCTCCATGGAGACSTTAGAGCYCCTTCCAGTGCCTAAAGGGTSGGTGYAGGAGGGAAAACTGGAWTGTTTGAAACCTCATTTCTGCTCTCTCCATGCTCACTCCAGGACTGATATTTCCCTGCTCCTGTTGGAACCACCATCAGCTTTTCCATCCACACCAATATTGGATGGGGAGGAAAACACCCCTTCACCTTCTATAACCTGACTGGGATCAGGTTAAATTGGGGAAAAGGGTATGGTTRGTTATTTTTTAACCAGACATGACCACACCAATGCCCAACCCGGTGATTCTCAGAGAAGAAAGACAAAATTTGGCTTTGCTAAGCAAAAAATCCCACTTTTTCCRAAGGAAAAGGACTAACCACAGACTAAGGTGTGTCTCTTCCCTCCCCTCCTCCCTCCAGTCCATCCATGTGTGTTCCTACCAAATGAATATTTAATTAAATGTTTCGGAAAGCTCCAAAGGGAGCTGTGAGGAACATCAGGAGCAGCCCTGACCTGCAGCCGTTCAAGAGACAGGGAGAGAAAAGGCCTTTCCCAAWTCCATCCATGCAGGAAAGGAGCTTTGGCTCTCCAAGACACATCCTAAAGCACTGGAGAGAGGTCCAGCTCCCAGGAAATCCCCATTTTCACATGGACAACCACGAGCAGCAGCGACAGATTTCCCCRAACCCAGTTGGAATAATCAAAGATCCAAAGGGAGCCTGACAAATCAACATTTCTGGATTTAATTCATCCAACCTGGCTGCTGAGGCAGCACTGATTCCTTCTGGAAGGAGGTTTCTAGAAAAGGAGAACCCACCCTGCCCCTCCTGTTTACTGAGGGAATGCTCGCCTCCCTCTCCGAGGGGAATAATTAAAACAAACAAACCGAAGCAGTGACAATTCCTTAATAATTCCAGGGCTGTTTGTACAGCAAACATGGCTGAGGGCTGGGAGAATCATTCCCAGCCACTGATCCCAACAGAGAGCAGGAAAGGAGCCCCTGAAAACATGGACTGTGCTGGGACAATGCTACTGCTCCTGCTTCATCCAAGAACTGGAGCATTGGACACATCAGTGTCCARGTGCAGGGACAAAGGGGCATTTGGAAGCTCTTTGTTTTATAGATGGGACAAAAAGTAGCAGGAGTGGAAAAAAGGGGAATAAATTCACTGCAGTGGTGTGAGAGCATCAGG